GTTTGTATACCAATACTAATTAATATACAAATATATATTTTAGGAAGAAAATCTGGAAAATGCATGTCAAAAACAACATATGTCAGAATCAAATGCATCATTTTTTGATTTGTTTCGCACTCCTCAGTTAAGAAAAAACTCATTGTTGCAAGCCATTATGTGGTTTGTAAAATTTTAATTTAATTCTTGACTAATAAATGTATTCAATATCTTTATAAATTAAGTTAAAATGGTTATTTTTAATTTTAGAATTTTAATAACTTAAACTGAAATCAGTATTATAAGTATTCTATGTAGTATTTTCATGAATTATGATTGACTTCTTATAATGTTTAGAATTTCATTACCAATTAAACATTTTAAAATCAGTCTGAAAATTTTGTAATCAAATAAATTTTGAAAGTATTTTTTTGGCATCAAATTTTATATGGAAAATTAGAACATTATAAAATATAAGATTTTTAAAATAACATATTAAATTTGACTAATTTCAAATTTTATAAATTGGAGTGAAAGTGTATGTTATTTTTATTACTATATCTGACAGACTAAATATGCAATGTAAAATCAATTTACGTGTTTTCAGGTTTCTTTATAACTGTTTTTCTCAGGTTTCTCTAATTTGAAAAAGATCAGGATATAACTAAACACCAACGATATGCCAAAAATCTATCGGGCTAGTATTAGGCTAATTACTAAATGAGTGCCTGGACACTGAATGTGTCCCCAGCCGGCGTTGTAATAACCGTCGATGGTTATATAGTTAGATTATATACGCTGGAAGAGGAGATCGGACTGGAGGTCCGGATAGCGTAACTGGCAATGCATCTGCACAGTAAGCAGGAGTTGTGGGTTCGAGTCCTGCTCCGGGCCAATTTTTTCTCCCAGCGGTTCTAAATTATTTAAATTAATTAATTTATTTATAATTATTAATATTAATAAGAGATGGCGCCTAACGCTTACCTCTAGTGCCAAATTAATTACGTAATTTATTTAGTAATTAGCCTTAAAACTAGCCCGATGGATTTACGGCATATGTTTGGTGATTANAAACAGCGCCACGTATTTGCATAAATTGTAACTAAAATTTACTTTTAAAACGTTTATACAGTACTTCAAAAAATTCTGTATTAAGTATTATATTTATTCGAATAATTTGCGCAATTCTTTTTTAAAAAGTCGGAGTGCGCGGTTTATTAGAAACAAATTTAATAACGCAACTCGCAATGCGTCTTTTTTCTTTAACTTTTTCCACCCTGAGGACATTAAGACGGTCATTTTTTAGTAAGTCTATTATGGGTTCTGCCAAGTTCATAATGGGACTGTCGGAAGGTGAGGACGGGCCCGACATATCCGGACGGGGCACCCTCGAAAACTTTTTGTGTTTTCGATCTGTCCGGATTTAATTCCGGGTCCACCAGTGCAGTAGCCGGCCATCCCAACCGCTCGGTCATTCCGACACTGCTGTTGGTCAATTGCTACAGCAGTTTTTCACCTTTAATTCGAATTAAACAACGTAAAAGTCATACTTTTATTTAATTAGTAAGTTAATCCATGTAAAATACATTATTACAGATTGAAGATAATTTATCTTTATCAGGTTATATATCGGGTTTAGCGATGTTTGATCAGGATATATTCAATTTTTTTCCTTAATCTTCTCCTTGGGATATATTCAATATCAAATTTGATATGTTCTATTTTTTAAGGCCATTTATTGGTGACTTGTTTCAAATTAATTTGAATTGTTGTTGTTATTTTCTACCATGAATTTCCTTGTGTTGAAAATGCTTATTGCATGCTTTATGTTGATACATTTACTTTTTTGCTGCTTTGTATATTTTGAGTAACTCAGCCTATTTGGCTTTTTTTTGTCATGGACTTGCTTAATGATTTTTGTTTCCTCTCATTGTGCTACATTGCATTCCTCCAATGAAAATGCTGATAATACCATAGTATAGTTCTTTAATTCTTTTGCCAAGTGTTCTTGAAGTGTAACCTACATATTCCATGCTGACAGAATAACTGCCGCAGACAATTCCATATCTACCCTTACCTTCTGGGTTCCTCTAATTACTAGCAGAATTAGTGGTATGAAAGCTAGAGAGTATGATTATCTCAACATTTGAAAAGTAGATAAGATTATACAAGAGGTACAGTTCATAAATGACATTTTAATCATATGGCACTGAAAACCAAATGTATACTTCTTGGTACTTCATCAAAATTTTACATAATGGATATATTTATCCATATTAAATGCTTCTTTCAGGTAGCCAATTATTTAAATTTACCGCAAAGGAATATTTTCATCCTTTTATTATACAGCATCAGCTTTCTGACAAATATCAGTCACTGTTCAAACTAAATTTGAACTTTCCAGTCATTTTGAGGATCAAACAATATTTAAAAACTACACATTAATGATATTAAGGTGCTTTTTAAGAACATGAGGTTTCTGGAGCCATGTTTCATTTACATATTAAAAAAGCATCTTAACATCATTAATATACAGGAGTTGATAGAACTGGACACAAGATGGAAGGGAGTACTCCAAACATGAAATTGGGAGGATGTAATTAAATGTTTGCAGGACAGAAAAATGAAGGAGTCAATATGATATAAAAAAGAATGAAAAGTTAATACTTTTAGTGGCAGAGAAATGAGGTTAATACTGTGCATGCATAGGGGTTTGCTTTTACAAATGTAGAACAAAAATGTGTAGTTTTTAAATATTGTTCAATCCTCAAAAATGGCTGGAAAGTTCAAATTTAGTTTGAACAGTGGCTGATATTTGTCAAGAAGATGAAGCTGTCATAATAAAGGATGAAAATGTTCCTTTTTTGTAAATTTAAACAGTTAGCTATCTAAATAAGCATTTAATACAGATAATAATATGTAGCCAGAAACTCATGAGGTAATATTTGGATATATTTGTTGATAACAAAGAAACAACTTTATGAAAATAAAAAGAAATTTTGCAACAACCTAAGATAAAATAATAAACATAATTTTTATTTCATTTTCTATTTGTAAATAAAAATTTTGTCTTTAAATTATGAATGTATGTGCTTCATGTACTGTACCTATATTGGCTCTGCTGATATATCCATGCCAAAATCTGACAATTTTGGATTTAAAAATTTTAATAAGATGGCTATATGGATGAAGCAGTTAAAGACAATTGCTCTGGAAATTTTGGATCAAATACAGATGGGAAATTGCAGAAATTTTTAAAGGCCAGTCTGTCCTAGATATGTTGAGCCTCATCCCTCACTTCTGAATACCCTGATTGTGGGCTTGGCTGAACCCATGATGGGCATGGGATAAAGTCTCTCATAAGACAAAAAGTCAAAAATGAAAAAAAAAATTTTAATATTACATTTTGACATAAATAAATTTTATTTAATTATATTTATTTGACATAAACAAATTTTTATTAAATTATCTGAAATGGAAGTTGAAATTTAAACAAATGTTTGAAAAAATTTTTGATTTTTAAGACCAAATTCGTAGAAAACAGCAAAAATCTGTAGCTCATCTAGCTATTGTATAGTCTGTCATCACAGTAAATATTTTTCTTGAAAAGAAATTAATTCAAATTATTACTTTATTAAAAATAAAAATTTGAATGGTGTAAAGGTATGAAACCAAGTATTTATATTATTGAGATTTGTAAAGTAATCAATGTACCATATCTGGTATTCAATAAGTTAATATATTCAAAGAAAAATAAGTGCATACTATTTAATAGATTTTAAACTATCAAGCATTAGAATTAATTTCAAATAAATGAATAGAAGAAATTATTAAAGTATGTAGTTTTTTATTATATTTTTATATATATTATAATAA